CTTTCCTGTGGGGACAACCTCAAAATCTCAGTGGCTTATACCAACAGCTATATTCCACTTGGGTTAGATGAGGGCTGCATGTTATCTGTTGGTCTGATCCATGGGTTATTTTTACTCCAAGGTTTCGGCTAAAGGACATGCCCTCTCTTGGGGAATGCCATGCTCCTGCTAGAGGTAATCTCTGCTTGGACTGGGCACACTGCTACTTTGCTGCTCATTTCATCAACCCCAGCCAGCCACTGTGGGGCAAGCCAGTGTTCCTTGCTTGTCAGAGATGCTGTACTTTGCATACAATGGTGAAGAGAGTGAACAGCGGGGTGTGATTAAACAGTCAACCACAGCCTGAAACCACTTTCCCTGCTAAGTGAACCTCAACTCAATGACCTCATTCTGAAAGATGTGGCCTAAATTCTTGCTTGGAATCGTAATTCCTCTTTAATAGATTCTGCTGTTCTCTTACCAGTCAAGAGGACTGAAGGGGATTGAAATTCTGAACCTAGGCTCAGTGGCTACTGCCCCTCCTCCACAGCCACTGGCTTCTGGTAGACATTCCTGATGCTGATGTTCTCCTCAGAGTGCTGAGCTTTGGGGGAAATTCTGTTGCATGGTGCCAGACCCTCTTTCTCCATCTCATAACTCCATCACAGAGTTGGTCTACCATGGATGAACTTATCCTAGGTTCAAGATATTCTGCCCAGGTGACTAGGCTTCTCTAGTGACAGATGGACCACTGTTCTTACTCCCTCATACCTGCTTTTTCTGAGCTACTGGCCAGCTGGCCTCATCCTCCAAAGGCAACTGGGCCATGACAGTTGAGTAATAAAAAACAATGCTCTGCTTTGCTTTCAGACTCACCAAGAACCCTCTGTGTAGCAGATTTGCATTTTGATCCACATCCTTAGGTGCTTATGAAATAAAACTTGGATGCCTTTTGATACTCATGTTCTGGGTGTGTACCCAAAAGTGGACTTGCTAGCTCATAGGGTATATTTTGTTCAAAACTGACATGCTGTCGATAGTTTTCCAAACTAATGGTAACAATTTATACCTACACCAGTAATATAACATGTTTCTATCAATCTTTAAATTTTAGCCAATATGAAGTTAAGTAATGTGATGCCTCTGGTTTTGTTATTTTTGCTTAGGATGACTTTGGCTCTTTTAGGGTTCCATATGAATATTAGAATAGTTTTTCTAATTCTGTGAAAAATTACATTGGTAATTTGACAGAAATAATGCTGAATCTATAGTATGCACGTTTTAACAATATTGATTCTTTCAACACACCAGCATGGAATGTTTTTCCATTGGTTTGCGTTATCTATGATTTCTTTGAGTAGTGTTTTGTAGTTCTCTTTGTAGAGATTTTTCACCTCCTTGGTTAGATGTATTCCTAAGTATATTAATATTTTTTGCAGGGGGTGCTATTTTGAATGGGATTGCACCCTTGATTTGGCTCTCAGCTTAAATACTATCGGTATATAGAAATGCTACTGATTTGTGTATGTTGATTTTGTATCCTGCAGCTTTACTGAAGTCATTTACCAGGTCTAGGAGTTTTTTTGGTAAACTCTTTAAACTATACAAGGCTACAGTAACCAAAACAGCATGGTACCAGTACAAAAAGAAACACATAGACCAATGAGACAGAATAGAGAACCCAGAAATAAGGCCACATGTTTACAACCAACTGATCTTTGACAAAGTCAACAGAAACAAATAATGGGGAAAGGACTCCATATTCAACAAATGGTGCAGGGAAAACTGCCTAACAATATGCAGAAGAATGAAACTGGACACTTAGCCCATATACAAAAATTAACTCAGGGGGATTGAAGACTTAATTGTAAGACCTGAAACTATAAAAATGCTAGAATAAAACATAAAAAATACCCCTCTTTAGCATGGCCTTGGCAAGGAATTTTTGGCCAAGTCCCTGAAAGCAATTGTTACAGAAACAAAAATTGGTGAGTAGGATTTAATTAAACTAAAGAGATTTTGCACAACAAAAGAAACCATCAACAAAGTAAACAGACAACCTACAGAATGAGAGAAAATATTTGCAAACTGTACATCCAACAAAGCAGCATCTACAAGCAACTTAAACAAATCAACAAGCAAAAAACAAATAACCTCATTAAAAAGTGGGCAAAGGACGTGAACAGATACTTCTCAAAAGAAGACATACAACTGGCCAACAAACAGGTGAAAAAAAAGTTCAACATCATTAATCATTACAGAAATGCAAATCAAAACCACAATGAGATATCATCTCACATCAGTCAGAATGGCCAATATGAAAAGTCAAAAAATAACAGATGTTGGTGAGGTTGTAAAGAAAACGGAAATTTTATACATTGTTGGTGGGGATGTAAATTACTCCAGCTACTGTGGAGAGCAGTTTGGAGATTTCTCAAAGAACTAAGATTTGAGGTACCATCTGATCCAGCAATTTTATTACTGGGTGTATGCCCAAAGGAAAATAAGCCATTCTACCGAAAAGACACCTGAGCTTATATGTTCATTGCAGTGCTATTCATAATAGCAAAGACATGGAATTAATCCAGGTGCCCATCAACTCTGGATTGGATAAAGAAAATGTGGTACCTATACACCACAGAATACTATGCAGCCATAGAAAAGAATGAAATAATATCCCTTGCAGCAACATGGATGCAGTTGGAGGCCACCATCCTAAGTGATTTAATGCATCAACAGAAAACCAAATGTCACATGTTCTCTTATAAGTGGGAGCTAAATTGTGGGTATATGTGAGCATAAAGATGGGAACAATAGACACTGGAGACTCCAAAAGAGGAAAAGGAGGGGAGAAGGGCTAAAAACTTCCTATCATGCAGTATGTCCACTACATGGTTGATGGGATCAATAGAAGCCCAAATCTCAGCATCATGCAATATACCCTTGTAACAAACCTGTATATGTACCCCGTGAATCTAAAGTAAAAAATGTAAGCAAATAAAATAAAAAATGTAGGCCTCTTGATGAGTATACAGTGTTATCTGTTGGTTGGTTTACTTTGCAGTTTCCTGATGATTAATGATGTTGAACCACTTTTAATGTGAGCATCGATCATTTGAATACCCTTTTATTATGAAGTGCCTGTCCAAATGTTTTCCCAATGTTTTAATTGAGTCTTTTTCTTACTGGCTTGTAGAAGCACTTTATATCATCTAGGCATAGGACCTTTGCTGCCATGCTTAAAATATTTTCTCCTACTCTGTGATTTATATTTTCATTATTTAAACATTGTATTTTATTGAAGATATGTTCAATATTTTAGTGTAGTCTAACTTATCAATCTTTTTTATGTTTCAAACTTCCTATATAGTGTTTTAAAAAATCTGTTCCTACACCAAGATCATTAATACACTCCATTAGAATATATTCTAAAAATTTTATTGCTCACTTACCGCATTTAGATTTAAATTCCACAAGGAAGTTACAGTGTGTGTGTCTATGAGATGTAAAGTAAGGCTCAAATTTCTTTTTTGAACACGAATACTCAATTCAGTCAACACTGTCATTAAAATGACTGTTCTTCCTTCACTGTTCTGCAGTGTTACTGTTGTCTCTATCGAGTGTGCATGCAGCTAGTTTTGTTCTTTTGTCATGTTCTGTTGGTATTTGTGTTTATATTTATGTCCCTACCACACTGTCTTGCTAATATGTCTTTATAATAACTTTTAATATTTAATATTGAATTCTTTATAAAATAAGCTTGGCACAGAAAGACAAATAGTGAACCAGGTGTAGTGGCTCACGCCTGCAATCCAACACTTTGGGAGACCAAGGAGGAAGGATCCTTTGAGCCCAGGAGTTTGAGACCAGCTTGGGCAACATAGGGGGACCCTGTCTCCACAAAAAAGAAAAAAGATTTAAAAAATTAGTCAGGTATGGTGATACAGCCTGTGGTCGCAGCTACTTAGAGGGTGCTGAGGCAGAAAGATTGCTTGAACCCAGGAGTTCAAGGCTGCAGTGAGCTATGATCATGTTACTGCCACTGGCAGCCCTGAACTGATAGAGTGAGACACAGGAAGGAAGGAAAGAAGGAAGGGGAGGAAGGAGGAATGAAGGAAGGGGACAGGAAGCGAAGAAGGAGGAAGGAAGGAAGTGAAGGGAAGGGAGGAGGGAGGGAAGGAGGGAGGGAGGGAAGAGGGGAGGGAGGGAGGAGGGAAGGAGGGAGGAAGGGAGGGAGGGAAGGAAGAGGAAAGAGAGAAAGAGAGAGAAGAGAGAGAGAAAGAAGGAAAGAAAGTAAAGAAGGAAGGAGAGAATGAAAGAAAGAAAGAAAAAGGAAGGAAGAAAGAAAGAAAGAAAAGAAAAAGAAAGAAAAGAAAGAAATGAAAGAAAGAAAGAAAGAAAGGAGAGAGATAAAGAAGAAAGGAGACCAAAGAGGAAGAAGCAGGAAGGAAGGAAGGAAGGAAATCATCACCATGATCCTCACATACATAGTGAACATCTAAAAACCTGTAGGAGCATGAGTGTAGAATGGTGGTTACCAGGGCTGGGGACAGAAGGGGAAATGGGGAGATAAATTGGTCAGGAGGACACAAAATTTTAGGTTAGACAGGAAGAATGACTTAAAGAGCTCCATTGTACAACATGGGTGACATAGTTAACAACAATGCATTGTATACTTAAAAATCATTAAGAGAGTTAAATATTAAATGTTCTCACCATAAGAAAATAATAGTAAGTATGTGAGTTAGTGCATATACTAATTAATCTCCATTCTAAACATTCTACGTTACAGGACATATATCAAAACATCATTCTGTATACCTTTAACATACAATTTTTTTGTCTCAATTAAAATTAATATATAGGCCAGGCGTGGTGGGCTCACGCCCTGTTAATTCCCAGCACTCTGGGAGGCCCAAGGCAGGTTGACTCACTGAGGCCAGGAGTTGAGGACCGGCTTGACCAACATGGAGAAACCCTGTCTCGACTAAAATACAAAATTAGCCAGGCGTGTGACATACCTGTAATCCCAGCTACCTCAGGAGCTGAAGAGGAGAATCACTTGAACAGGAGGTGGAGGTCTGCGGTGAGCCGAGATTGCACTCATGCCAGCCTGGGCCACAAGAGCGAAACTCTGTCCTCAAAAAAAAAAAAAAGAAAAAAATTAAATACCGTTCATGTTTCCTTTGCCGGGACATGGATGAAGCTGGAAGCCATCATTCTGGGCAAACTAACACAGGAAAGAAAACCAAACAGTGCATGTTCTCACTCATAAGTGGGAGTTGACAATGAGAACACATGGACACAGGGAGGGGAACATCACACACCAGGGCCTGTAGGACGGTGGGGGGCAAGGGAGGGGGAGCATTAGGACAAATACCTAATGTATGCAGGGCTTAAAGCCTAGATGACAGACTGATAGGCACAGCAAACCACCATACACTTCCATACCTATGTAACAAACCTGCACGTTCTGCACGTGTATCCCAGAACTTAAAGTAAAATTAAAGATACATATATAAACTAATTCTAAAAATAAATAAATACATACATAGAAAAAATATGACTTGTTTAATCATGGCCACTTGATTTGCCATGTAGTCTTAAAATAGGAGTTTGTGACTTCTTTCTAAGTTTTATGTGATAAACTTCTATTTCGGAATAATTTTAGATCTTCAGAAAAGCTGCAAAAATGTAAAGAGAGATTATCTTATCCAGCTTCCCTTAAAGTTAACACGTTACACAACCATGGTACGTTTGTCAAAACTAAGAAACCAACATTAAATTCTGAATTTTCCTTAACAGTAATGTATTTGTTATTCCGCTAAGTTTTCACACTAATGTTCTTTTTCTGTTCCCAGTATCCAGTTCAGGATACTATATGGCACTTAATCATTACGTTTTCTTGGGTTCCTTGGGGCCTGTGGCCAACTCTTAGCCTCTCCTTGTTACGTGCATTGGCAGTTTTTTTTTTTTTTTCTTTTTTTATTACTTTAAGTTCTAGGGTACATGTGGATAACGTGCAGGTTTGTTACAATGTATACTTGTGCCATGTTGGCGTGCTGCACCCATCAGTTTTAAGAGTACTGTTCAGGTCCTTAGAATGCTCTTTAATTTGTGTTTGTCTGATTTTTTTTTCATGATTAGGCTGGAATTATGAGCGTCTGGAAAAAATTGCCGCAGAGGTTAAGACTTCCTTCTCATCACATCATTATCAAGGGGATGTGATATCAGCGTGCCTCATTACTGGTGATGTTCACCTTGATCACGTGGTGAAGATGGTGTTTGCTAGGTTTCTCTACCACACAGCTACTCTTTCCCTGCTTTCCACACTCTAGTCTTGCATGTGAATCACTAAGTCCAGGCCAGGCACAAGGTGGCCTGGAAGGTAGACGCTAAGGTCGAATTCCTGGAAAAGACAGTATCTATTCATATTATCTGGAATTCTTCTACAAAGATTTATCCTTCTTCTTTCTCATGTATTTACTTGTTTAATCATTTATTTATATCAGTGTAATCTCATGTGTACTTTGGGTTGTAAGCCAATACTGTGTTATTTATTTATTTCAGGGTCGCATCTATATCTCTCTGATATGCCCCATCCTTTTGTTTTTTTGAGCATTTTCATTATTCTGGCACCTGAAGATGTTCCAGGCTTTTCTGGCTATCTCTTGCCTCAGTGCACAGACTAGCACCTCCAGTATCATGTTGAATAACAATGGTAAGAGCAGACATCCTGTTGTTTTAATGTCTAATCTCTGAGAAGGCTCTTACAACATTTTTTCATTCAATATGAAAATACCTTTCTCACATTAAGAAAGTGTATTCCTATTTCTAATATAGTGATAGTTTTTTTTTAACAATCATAACTAGACAGTTCGATCTTTTAAAATGCTTTTTTATCGGGAATTTTGTTGATTGATTTTCAAATGTTAAACTAATCTTGTATCCCTGGCCCCCAACATGATCGTGATGTATTTTCCTTTATGTAGATGTCACTAGATTCAGTTTGCTAACGTTTTCATTTGAATTTATTTTGTATTTTTATTTTTTGAGACAGTCTCACTTTGTTGCCAAGGCTGGAGTGCAGTGGTGCAATCTTGGCTCACTACAACCTCTGCCTCGCAGGTTCAAGGGGTCCTCCTGCCTCACCCTCCCGAGTAGCTGGGATTACAGGCACGCACCACCACGCCTGGCTAATTTTTTTTGTCTTTTTAGTAGAGATGGGGTTTCACCATGTTGGCCAGGCTGATCTTGAATTCGTGGCCTCAAGTGATCCGCCCGCCTCGGCCTCCCAAAGTGCTGGGATTACTAGCATGAGCCACTGCACCCAGCCTGGATTTATTTTTAAGTCATATTCAAGAGGGAAATTGTCTTTCAAGAGTTTAGAGTAACTTGTTAAGAATTCAAGAGCAGGCCGGGCGCGGTGGCTCAAGCCTGTAATCCCAGCACTTTGGGAGGCCGAGACGGGCGGATCACGAGGTCAGGAGATCGAGACCATCCTGGCTGACACGGTGAAACCCCGTCTCTACTAAAAAATACAAAAAACTACCCGGGCGAGGTGGCGGACGCCTGTAGTCCCAGCTACTCCGGAGGCTGAGGCAGGAAGATGGCGTGAACCCGGGAGGCGGAGCTTGCAGTGAGCTGAGATCCGGCCACCGCACTCCAGCCTGGGCGGCAGAGCGAGACTCCGTCTCAAAAAAAAAAAAAAAAAGAATTCAAGAGCAATTTTATTTTTTCCAATACTCTTATTTTGGTTTCGGTTGTGTACCAAGATTATCTTTCCCTCATTGGAAAGTATTTTCTCTTCTTCTATTCTCTAGAATGATTTGTGTAATATGACTTCTTATTTCTTCCTCAAATATTTGGTAGTAAAAATCATCAGTAAATTCTTTGGGACTTGGCATTTCTTGATGACAAATTGTTTAATTCCAGATTCAATCTTATAATTATAGGGTTGTGAAGACTTCATATTTTTGAATTTACTTTAATAAATCATATGTTGGGAGGAAGTTGTCTGTTTTTCATCAATTTTGCATAAAGATTTTCATAGTATAAAGATAATTTTGTATAAAGATTTTCATAGTATAAAGATAATTTTGTATAAAGATTTTCATAGATTTACCAGTTATTTTTTAATACCTGTATGATCTGTGGTCATATCCCTGTTTCAGTCCTAAAATTTGTTGTGTCTTAATTACCTTAGAATTCATTATAAATTATTTTCATATAATTTATAATCATATCATTTTTAGACTTATATTTATATTGACTATATAAATTATATAAACTATAACTGTATAAATCATTATGTGTAATTACGTGCATGTGTGTGTGTGTGTGTGTGTGTGTGTGTAATGAATGAGACACAGTGAGAATAATATAATCAACCACCATTAACCTATCACCTAGCTTCAAAAATTATCAACTCAGGGCCAAGTGTTTTATTAAAAACCCCATAAATTCTCCAATATGAACAGAGATGTAAAATTATTTTTAAATAAATTACAGAGATCTTTTCAAATGTTTATTGGGCATTCAGTTCATTCAATCAAGAATTGCCTTTTCCTTTTCCTCTTTTTTAAAATTTTGAGACAGAGTCTTGCTTGGTCGCCCAGACTGGAGTGTAGTGGTTGCTTACTGCAACCTCCACTTTCTGGGTTCAAGCCATTCTTGTGCCTCAGCCTCCCAAGTAGCTGGGACTATAGGTGTGTGCCACCACACCTGGCTAAATTTTGTATTTTTAGTAGAGATGGGTTTCACCATGTTGGCCAGGCTGATCTCGAACTTCTGACCTCAAGTGATCTGCCCACCTCAGCCTCCCAAAGTGCTGGGATTACAGGCGTGAGCCACCGCGCCAGGCTGAAAATTGTCTTTTTCTATTGGGTCATTTTTCCTTTCTATACTGATTTTTACATAACCCATTAGGTTCAAAATTATTCTTTTTATGAACAGCCAATCTAAAATAGCATCTCCCATCTCTCACCAAGTTCTATTCTCTCACCTGCTTTAGTTCTCTCCTTGGTACTTTCTGAAATCTGAGGTTTATCAACATATGTAATGATGTATTTATCAGTGTCCTCTCCTATGAGCGGAGGATGTTAGTTTTGTTTCCTACAGTTACCCTGGTGACTAGGACAGGGCCTGGCACATAGACATTCAATAAGGATTTGTTGGATGGATTAATTAACTTGATTGATACATAATCTGAATATACTAAGCCCTTGTCAGCTATATCACACGGTTAGATATATGTGATACCTAATCCTTGCTGGCTTATGGTGTCTTTTTGTATACAGGTATGTTTAACTTTAATGTTGTCAAATTATTATAGTAACTATTTTCTTATGATTGTCTACTTTAGTATATCTGTCCCCATCCTGAGAACAAGAACATTATCCTTGTTCTTCCAAAGACATGCTTAATTTTGCTGTTCACTTTTAGGTTTTAATCTATCTGAAACATGTTTATAAATGGTGTCTGATAAAAATCTACATTTTTTCCTGAATAAACAGTGTTTGGATCATTTTATTCCATAATTTACCTCTTAATTGCTGATCTGCAATGCATTTCTTAGCACTTAAGGTTTGATTCTCTTTTGCCTACTAGCTGTGTCTATGCACTGTCACGTTCTTTAATTTCCATAGATTCCTAGTAGGGTTTGATAGTTTCAGTTGGTGAGTGCCCACCCACTTTGGTTCCAGTGCATGACTTGCTAGAAGGACTCACAGGACACAGACATGGTTTCCAGTTGTGCTCCACATGACTGACCTCAACCACTCAGTCTCCAGTCAGCTGTCTGCCACCCCCAGAGGTCAAAGTGACACAATGTGACCCAAAGCCCAGGCATACATAAACAGATGGTCACCATAAAGCATGTTGAGAGCATGCGGTATGACCCAAAGCTTCAGGTTTACAAAGGCACTCACATCACACAGAGTATTACAAGAGCTCAGAGGTTTTATCTCCAGGAGCCTGTCAGGAACCGTCCTGCAGCCCTTTGGAATATGCAGGATTTGGGCAGCCCAGGCCTGCTGAGTTAACACTTTACTGCACAGTTCT